AGTAACTTGTGAATATGCCTGCCAGCTGCTATCTCCTGAGTTTCAAATCACATCAGATGCATATGGAGGCATTATCAACCAGTTGTAGGAAATGCATTGTGACAGAACTCCAGAGAGGTGACAATCTGACAGCCATCAGGATTTTGGATACCCTTTCTTAACTGGTGTTCGAATGACATCTACACATTTTAAGTCTGCTTAGATTCTTTATGATTCATGTGTCCACTAGAGGATTCATTTCTTCATGTAACAGATGTTTATTGATGCCTGTTAAGTACCAAACAAGAGTGACCAAGAGAGACCAAGAGATTCTTTGCTTTTATGGAAGTTACATTCTTGTGGTAAAAGATAGTCAAGAAAGCAGACAGGCAAACAGTGAGATCCCAAGGAATGGTGTTCAGTGCGAGAAACAAAACTGGAAGAGGGACTGGTTTATATTGAGTGTTCAGGGAACGGTTCCTGATGAGGTTTGAATGGGGACCTGCATGACAAGAAAGAAACAGCAATAAAATGATTTTGGGTTAAATGGAACAGTATGGGCAAGAGTTCTCCTGTACATTGTAGAAAGAAAAAAGCCTGCGTGACTGAAATGTGGACGTGAGAGTGACAAAATGGTAAGAGAGGAAGAGAGAAGTGGGTACAGTCAAATCATAAGAGGGCTTCCAGGCTCTGATAAAAGATTGAATTTTATATTAAATGCAGAGGAAATCGTTAGATGGCATTAAGCAAGAAAATAGCATGATGTAACTTTTTATTTATTTATTTATTTTTTAAGTAAAAAGATTACTATTTGTAAACTCATTGTAAGGGATCAGGAATGAGAATGAGGTGACCAGTAAAATGTCATTTACTGTGGCCAAGCTGAGAGTTGTGATGGCCAAAATAGAAGTATTGAGGAAGGCAAAAAAAAGTACAGAATAGATTTGAGATCTATTTGGAAGCAGAACCAATGTATTTTGCTGAGTGTTGAATACAGGGGATGAAGAAGAAAAGAATAAAAAATGGTTTATAGAGTTTTGATTTGAGCAACTGGGAAGAAGGTGTTGCCATTTACAAAAGCAGACAGGATGAGTCAGGCAAGTTTGGGGGAAATACTGAAAATTGAAAGTATTAAGTTTGAGCTGCATGTTGAGATGTTGAATGGGCAGTCTAGTAGGAGATAGATTTAGTCTAGGACCTGAGTGACAAGAAGGTAAAAGAAGAGTGTGTTTCCAGAGAAGGATGGTTCTGGTGAAATACTGCTGAGAGGGAATAAAAGAAAACTCATAGACATACCCTTTTGTATTAGTTTTCTGAGACGACTCTTAACAGTTTGGTGACTTAAAAAGAAATTTATTCTCTCAAAGTTCTGGGAACTAGAAGACAAAGTCTGGCAGTGCTAAATTCCCTAGGGAGGAGCATGTATTTCTTCTTAGTCTGTCCCAGCTTTCCTGGGTGTATTACTGTATCACTCTGGCCTCTGCCTCCTTCACTTGGCCTTTTCTGTGAGTCTCTAAACTCTCTTTACCTTTCTCTTACAAGAAATTCTTTTCATTTGTCTTACAAGAACATTGTGATGTCATTATAGGGCCCATGTGGATAATCCCATCTCAGAATCCTTGATTTATTGGGACCAGCAGTTAGCGTAATGGCTGTGTCGCTGAACTCCCATGTAGCCGACTGTGGTTTGAGTCCTGGACCCGGTGGCTTAAACTCACCATGGGTGCGTGCGCGTGCGCGCTCAAGATCCTGAGAGGAGAATGGAGGAGAAGGGATTGCGACGTGGCCATCCCCCCGGGGAGTGATTTCTCGCTTTCTGTCTCTCTGTCTCTCTCTGTGTTTCTGGCGAGTGCATGCGCCCTATATCAAAATAAAAAACTAACAAAACTATTCAAAAAAGAAAAAGAATCCTTAATTTATTAATCTGCAAAGACCTCCTTTTTTCAAACAAGGTAACTCCCAGGGATTATAAATTCCTGGGATTAGGATTTAGTATTTTTGGCTAGCTGTTATTCACCCTACCACACCTTGGTTTTAGAAACATAATAGCTATTTGAGAGCTCAGTGAGTGGTTTCATTGGAGTATTGGGGACTGAAGAGAAGCATGTTGGTCTTTTGTGCTTACTGCCACATAGAGAATCTGTAGTCTGTCCCAAGACTGTGTAAACGGATCACAGTGCTTTCTGTAGGTAAGCGGTAGTTGAAGCTTCAAGTTTCACCCATTCTGTATGCAAAAGCAGCAGAGTTTTCAAGGCCTTTGGAATCACTTTGGGTTTAGTATTCTTGACCCATGTGGTCCCAGTTGGCATTGTTTAGCAATGACGATTATTTCTATAGTTAAAATAGGATTTATTTCTGATTTAAAACTTATCTTTTGATTATTATTATCGGTAGATATATTATTTCATACCATGTATAATAATATATCAATCAGAACTGATAACTGCCTTGCTGAAAAATTCCTACTCAGAATCTGGAATGATGTCACTCAGGTAATAGGGTGGGCATTTTAAATACATGAGCTGTCTGAAGAAAGATCAAGGGGACTCTGAAGAGTCTTTTGCCCTTTATAAAAATTCTTACCAGCTTTGTTAAACACAGATGTTAAAACTGGCCCACTTGGTGCTGAGATGCTCTCATTTGTTTGGAAAGGTTTCCAATGATTCCTGC